CCTTGAGTTAGTAGTAAGTTTTCTGGCAAATGTCGGGGGTTCGTGAGCATTCCTGACATTGCTGAAAATTATGATAGCATCAGATTGCGGGGTTGCTAGTGTAATAGGATGCTTTGTTGATTGTTCATTAACTCTTGATTGCTTGTAATACTTATGAATATTTTAGGTAGACAAAAAGGCGAACTAAGAGGTGGACGCCTGAGCTTTTCCACATTTATATCGCTGTGAAGCAACTGTAAGCTCTAGAGGGAATTTACATATATCTGTAACTGAAACCAGTTCGATTTTGTTTGCCAACCTGGTTAAAATGTCATTATCTTAAAGATAAATCGTCCAGCTCAAACCTTTGTAGGGGTAAGAGGTGGGACCATCATCATCATCATCATGTTCATAAATTTTTATTGCGTTCCAGAAATTTTATCTGATCAAACCGAAGTTTCCGGTAATTCCGGTTTCTACAATTTCCTTGAAGTTTTCAGAACTGCCCTCTGATTCTGTGATCTGTACTGATGTTCTCGGAGCTTCCCTAAAACTCTCAACTCTAATGAAGATCTCGGTTCTGCTTTAAAATAAATGGAATCCTCGTAAACACCTTCAAACTTCCTGGAATTCACTGGATTTCTGTGAAGTTCCTGAAATATTTCTGAACTATTCATAAATTTTCTGAAGTTCTCTGTACTGAATCATTCGGAACATCTTATGGGTTTTCGATTTTAATTCAGCACATCATGGAACTATCCTGAATTTGTCTAAACTTACGCTTAAAGATTTTTAAACCAATTCAATGGTCTGGGCTAAAAGTTCAGGGACTTCCCCTTAAGATCTCTGGAACTCCCCAACGATCTCTAGATCTAACTTTTCTTTAAAACGGATTGTCATGTCTTAAGGGGGGAAATACAAGTAACACGTCAAAAACTCGACGATTTTCGGAATTTTTTTGTGAGTAAATGAAACAACGCAAACGTTTGGAGTTTTTGCATTAAATTGCTCTACATTTGAGATTTTTTTCATTGGTGTGTGACCTCTGTGGCTCCTTGGGGTCACATCAGAAGGAGGTCGCCTCCGGTGGGGATTGGTAATTGGCGGGCGTTCTAGAGACCTGAAAAATTGACAAAACTTACTTTTATCAATTGGACCTTATTCAGAAAAGATTTTTGTTCTATGTGAACCTCTTAAACCCAAAACCTAAAAACCATCGGCAGAATTAGTATCATTATTAATAATTTTTAGATACAGCCTTGTTTCTTGCTGCAGGCGTTGCGTTGTCAGTAAGATTATGTTTTCGCAGAGCTTTATAGATTCGATCTTCGACCTTCGTCTGAGACAAAGAGCCGTCTGTCAAAAGTCGATTAATAGTGAGGCTACTTTAATTATTGCTTCCACTGATATTGCACAAGGATTCTTTTGATCCGGCACGGTCATTTGTTCCAACTGAGGTTCAGAAAACTCAAGAGAAGTCGGAAAACCTAACCTAATTTTTTTTTGGTGACGCACAAGGGTCATCAATAAACAGTTGTTTACTCAATTCAAGCGGATGTGAATGAAGAATGTGTCGCTTCAACGAAGTAAACTGGAAACAGCTCAGTTTGCATTTTGAAATTTTGCTATTATATAGAATAACATCAGAACGCAAATGGTTTTGCTTTAAATGGTAGTTGACATGACGTTGTAAGGCGTCAGCATAACCTGGAACCTACTGCTTACACAAGAAGCAAACTATACAGTTTTTCGGTTTTGAATTAGTTTGGAAGGAAAATAAAAATAAATTTATTACTTACGCGGGGTTTGAAGCACTCGACTTTTTACACTTCCTCCGCATCCAGCTGACGATGTACTTTCTCAATTTTAACGTTTTTCAGCAGCTTCCACACAATATAACACACGCGTAGGCACTTATCAACAGTTCGTTTCGTTCTGACAGCTATTTTCCGTATTCTCGGCGATTTGAAAAAATGGAATATGGCCGTTTATGATTTGACAAATATTTTAAGTACTTTCTGCAAAATTAAATGAATATGCCGTAAGGTTCAGTAATTAGTTTGACACTTTGCCAACTAGATCAGTGATTACCTTTGACGAGTCTTGGTAAAGAGAATGCTTGATTCGATTCTTACCTTCCTTAAATTGTCCTTTGCTCGCTTTCTACTTTCCATATTATAACGGAACTATCAATTCTATACTTTCATCTCCTCATTTTTCGTATAAAATATTCGCTTTAAGTCTGATATTGCCGTTAAGCATCTCCAAGTATTCAATTTATTGCTTACTACTTGTCCTGGAAATACTCTTTAACTCATACCCACTGCTCACTATCTTCACAATCTGTCTAACCGTCCACTGACTTCAATCAACACGCACCATTCTGCCAATCGTTCAACAATGGGCTAAATTGTGACACCTAACTTCCCGGCTACGTAAGCCTCAGAATGACGCTTTGTTGGTCCAACATCCCCCCACCCCACCTGGAGTCCGGGCGCAAATCCCTTCCAAAAACACACGTAAATATTCCCATCGATACCTTTATTCAATACGCTTCCCCAATCGAATAAAGAAACAGGTGATCCGCTCCATTTCAGGACCAACACCAGGCAGAGTCTGAAGGTGTTTTATATTCTCCGAATGCGCTTCCGGTTGGGCCATTCCTAGCACGGGAGACTGAGTCGGGATTTATTCCACGGGAGTTTGGAAATAAATTGATTTTATTTTTCGGCTCCACTAGCATCACTAAACATGGACATGGATGGGTGGTCCGGTGGCCGGTATCCACTTCCCTTGCTGCAGGGGCACACATTTCCGAGGGATTACGATAATTCTCTGTCTGTGTCGTTCTTTTTTCCTTTGACCGGGTGGAGACCGCAAAATTGCCACATATCGATGAGTGAAAGTTTTACCGGGGATCGGGGAGGGCTGCGGTGGGCGCTGTTGTTTCAACAGGGTAAAACAATTGGCGGAAAAGGGAAGGTAGGAAGGGCAGTAAATCCTCCTTACGATATCGCCTTGGGAATACCTTTTCCGGAGGATGTTGGCAAGGCTCAAATACACACAGGCGCAGTGACTTTCCCGGAATATGTGAAAGGTTCTGCGGTATGACGATGGAGACCTTTTGTCGGAATTCCCTGGGAGATTAGGCCGACGGATGTCGTCTTGGAGATCGGCTTAGGTTGCGGGTAGTCAGGTTTGGTCAATATCGTCGGATTGGCCGGGGGAGCGGTGGCAGGGTCTAATCACATATACGTTTGACCGTGCCCGTGTGTTACACATCCGAAAGGATTGTACGAGAGTGAGAGCTTAGGACAAGGGTTGTTCATCAATTTGTACCACAAGTACACACACACACACACACTGACACCCATTCCGGTCGGCCGGGGCTCCGGAAATCGTGCCTGTGAGTGAAAGGACAGCGGGAAAAGTCACTAAAGGAATTATTTCGGATCCGGCTCGGTTGGGTTGTTGTTTCTGTCGGATTGAAGCAAAGCTTGACTAACGAATTTGAGGTTCGTTGGAATGGATCGTTTGGGATTTGTACAAAACGGAGGACGTACAATTGGTTAATAAAATTACCGACGGCTGTTGACGACATTTGGTCGACTGATGGTTGGCGATTAGGACGTGTGAGTGTGCAATTTTCCGTTTTTTCCTCCACTGATATACTTCTAATTGATTTTCCCACACAGTGCTCCGGTCCAAATTCGAGCAATTAGAACAACTCGATGCATTTGAACGCAAGATATTCAAAACGTCCCCAAACTCCCGAAAGGAGCCGTTCAATCGAATGCTCTGCTGTAGATTACCAAAATTGGTTCAATTTGCAATTCCAATAAAGTGAATTAATTTACCCTCGGAAAAACATATTTCCAAACAGAAAACACACGCTCCCGGGCGCAGACATGTCGCAAATGGAGCATCCTTCCACCTTATTTCGGGGACCATTATTTTATTACGAAGGCGCTCCGAAAACGACAACGTCGGTGACGGTTCCGCTGTGCAGTTCCGACCGGTGGTGGAAGCTTTTCGCTTCCAGTCGTATGCTTTTCCAATCACCGTTTGTTCGTTCGTTCGTTCGTTCGTTTTCGTTTGTATACATATTTATTTTTCTTATCAGCAATATTCCTTCGGCTCGGTATAACAGACTGACAACTGGGTGGTCGGTCCCTTCCCTTTTCTCCGCCCCCGCCATTCGTTCGTTCGTTAAGAAATTATTATTGCCGATCAGGCGCGCACATTCACGTACCTTCCTCCTTCGACGTACAACTCTATTTGCTTCAGTTGTTTATTTTTTCCCGATGATTAGGATTTTTCATATTTTGCCATGTTTTTTTTTTTTTTGATCCGGCCCAGTCCTCGCCCCAGGAAGAGATTTCCGTTTGCAAAGAAGGCTCTGCCATTATTGTTCAGCGATCGGAAGGAAAAAAAAATAACAGAGCCAATCAGGAATGAAAGCATTATAGTTATGGTAAACAAACAGATAGAATATGGAGAAAAATATACGAGCCTTATTTCCGGGAAGAAACGATCCATGGAATCCGCAGGAAATGCGACTGGGTGGGGCTCTTTGCATACCTAATCACTTATTACGGAAGTCCGAGGAAATTTTGCTGCACCATTTCCGGTTTTGACAAAGCACAATTTTGGGAGTATGTTTTTCAAAATGGCATTAAGTCACCCACATGAGATCTGTTGCGTGTTCCAATTCTGCAACTTTCAGTTTTTTTTTCTTCAAACGCTGAAGCATTTTGTAATGGTAATTCAGTGCAAGTTTCGTTCAAAAAAGGGCGAGTAAAATCGTCCACAAGGAACTTCTAGAGCCATGCAAAAGACATCCATTGAGTTATGATAGCCTTAATCTGATATTCTTGCACTTCTTTCGAACAGCAACTGCAATCCATTACCGAATAGACCCCGTTATTTCCTGAATGACAACATAAAACTATCCCACCCTGCAAATGCTGAAGTAAATTAACGCATACATTGTGTTCTTCTTCCCCTCATTTCTCTATTAGTGTATAACCATGGATGGGATGCACAAACCAAAAAACCTCTAGACGGAACACCTAGACTTCCAGGTAGGACTTCCGTAATATGTCGCATGAAGCTTTAAAAGCTCAACGCGTCAGCAGAATTATCCAAAAATCAGTTGCCATTTGATGAAACGTCTCCTCGACCATATAATTCAGGCGCATGCTGAATGACGACTGTACTATCACAATTTCTAGCTGACAATAACAACCATTATTCAGCTCACTGCTAAGCAATTCAAAAATCGAGCTGAAAAATAAGTATTGGTCGTGGAATAAGCAAGATATTCAGGCAAATGAAAACAGTTGATTAAAAGCCAATCTGGTGGCAAGAATCAATGTATCACCATAGAGGTAACTCTAAGACCAGAAGGTCCCGAAGAAACGTGCTCAAGTTTTTAGCTCAGCTCCGGTGCTCTCTTCGGTCCCAAGCTAATCGATGCACCCCTCGAAACATAGGAAAATCCACGAACCCCTCATTTTATCTGTCAAACTTTCATAGCGAATCAAAACAAACATAGTGTAGTGCTAGCATTTCGACTAGAATGGGGTTCGTTCATCAATGTACTTGGGACCGATAGGTTGGTATCACCGCGCCCGTAGTGATCAGAGCTGTAAACTCTGCAACGCGTTTCAAACTTATACACCAGCAGTGTTGGAAAAATCATCAATCAAATGATATTTTTCCGCTCCCATACGCTCTCAATATGACGCGTGGCATTGCAACAAAACATCATGTTTAATATTGTTTTTACAACTTCCTTGTATATTGCGAGACTAGTCTCAACATGAGCTAAAGCGCCCATTACACACATCCACACATCGTTTTGTCAATTTTCCCTACAATGACAACACGCTAAAGCGCTCGTTACCAGACTTGATGGAGCCTCGCTCGCGAGTTTGAAATGAGCCGAGCGTAGCATTTTTCTGAGGAGTAGAATGCCTACTGCCAAATCATTCCGCTGAGCTTTAGAGCTTGTGAGGGAAGGGGATTAAAATGAGAGTGAGATTTGTTGCCTTTCATGTTCATGTTTTCTATCACACGATGTTACTCTCACTCTGGGTGAACTCTGAGGTTCTTGCGTCGAACAAAAAAGTCATTCGGAGTCTCGAAAAGCGCACCTTACGTCAAATCATCCTCTTGCTGAAGTTCACTCTCCCTCTCTCTCGAGAAGTTTTTATTTACTTCTTCCATATTCCTGCCGTCACTCACTCGAGGTGAGGGCTGGCTAAACTCGCAGGACAAGAGTGTTTTAAAAACTCCAGTGAGTTTGAGGAGTTTCAGCAAGCCTGCTCGTTACATGGGTCAATATACAGCCATTCCATAGCAAAACGATATAGTGGTTCTCAGAATTTCATAACAATTGGTAGTTTTGTTCCTTATCGAAAAGTATTAGAACCGTATTTTTTTTTATTTTCTCATTAGAGTGACCATTTCCATGTTATGGTGGTCAAAAAAAATCGATTTTTTTTTTTCTATTTTTTCCAAAAATGGATTTTTTTTTTTAAATCATAACTGTTGAACCATTAAACCGATTTGAATGATTAAAAAACCCATATTGATCCACCGGGCAGGTGAATAGAACATTTTTTATCCAGTATAATCTCGTTTTTGATATTATCAATAGATATACGAGGCCTTAGTGGATTCTTTTTATTGGTCTCAGTTTCTGCACTGCTCAATTACTGCATACAAAACAGTAATTGCTAGTTTGAATTGGAGTCCAAATCATAAATTAGAGCTTTATGACTTTATACTTAATCTGTTTTATTGTGCTCTACATACTTTAAGAACAAACTTATTATATACAATCTTATTATATTGCAATAATATTTGACGAACTAATTAAGTTAAATAATCAATCAGCCCGATTCTCTCATGGATTTTCTCTTTCGCGAATAACCCGACTGCAAATCAATTTCCCATTCAGTGTGTTGATTCAGGTGCAACCTAACTATAGTCGCTATATTTATAGTCTGGCGGATAGAATTTCGATCTATCAAAAAGCGGAATAAATTCAATATATTGCAGACCAAAAATTGAAAACGTACTATCAAGTTGTATAAACAAAACGTGGATTACTCTTTCCTCACCAATCGAACGCAAATTACCAGCATCATCGGATTTTCCCCAGCCCAAAGATGGTGTTAGTTTGCGTAGGTGTGCCTTAAGTAACGAGAAAACGGGTTCCGAATGTTTTGTTTGCAATATCTGATGTGCTCTTTTCTGTTGTTGGTCGTGATTTGACAGCTCAATTGGTCAAACAGCTCTTTGACAGCTCAATTGGTTCCCGAGATTCCCTCCACCAGGCTATGAATATAGCGACTATAAAGCTAACATCATCTTCTGTCGAACTGTCTTGTGGGCTTAGCGAGAAATTATGTTATGTGCCGTGGTGAAACAAATAGAGAGGCCAGGAATAGGCCCTTTTCGAATGTTCAGCGAGAATACAGAATAAAATTCGAAAAAATCTGGCACCATTGCCAACGGGACTGATCGGTCAGAGTTTCCATGTTTGTTTCACGATGTAGCAGTTCCAATAGCGATTTTTAAAAATGAGTGTGATGTATAGACCAAGGTTAAAGCGCCAGTTACACTATCCTCTTTGTGAATATATTGACTTGTGTAACGTCCACTTTCGATGTATAGAGCTTTTTGATGTAACAATCTAGTTTCCTCTATATTGTATAGCCCCACTTCTAATGGAAATGAGTAGATCTTACTGAAAATTGTGTGCAAACAGGTGGAAAAACTCGCTGCACACGGCCAACGAGATCAACCCAAATTTGATTTTATTTTACTGATAAATCGCAAAAAGTGCAGGAATTCAGAAAAAAAATACTTCATACTTTTCCAGAATGCCAGAAAATGACAACTCTCAAAAGTGGATTTTCTCGGTCTATTGGTATTACTACTAGACTGCGTAAAATTTTCGTAAATTTTCCTCATTTTCCAGCAGATTATTGAGGCTTTTATTTGGGTTGATCACATCGGTCGTGCACCAATTTGAAGGGACAACATCTGACTGGGCTTGTAGAGCTTTTCGACGTCTAATCGGCGCACACTACTGTACCATTTAAATCCAACGAGTGCGAGCAAGAGGGAAACACATTAGTGGGAAAACGCACCGTCGAAAACACATGTGTGATAGATAGAGAAAGACGATTTAGCATCGAAAAGGTCTATTGGAATACGTAGGGTAGGATGGTTCAAAACGCACCCCTGGAGTAAAATGGCCCTGCACTGTTTTTCATAGCTTTTCGAGTGTCAAATCGTAAACTTAACAATCAGCATTGCTAGTTCAGTGCTTGAATTAACATTCTGGCACATGATATTTCCAGAATTAGTAATGGTAAAGCAACGAAAAACTGCACGGGGCCATTTTACCCCAGGGGTGAATTATGGGCTATTCTCCCCTAAATTCCACGATTTTGCGTACGATTGCTTCTTCTGATGCTAACGCCCAAACTTAACTTAAAGAATTCCCCTGACTTAAAAAAAAACAGGGGTTAACCGATATGCATGTATCAACCATTTTAATTGGATAAGCCATCTCGAAAAATCTTTAACTGTAAATCTCTGGAACCTGAAGTCAGATAAGTTTGAAATTTTTTTTACAAGTAGATATTGATAAAATCGTTCTACTGTTAAAAAAATCATGTTGATACAGTATACCATTTATTTTAAAAAAATCGTTAACTAAAATCATTCTGCCCTATATATCTTCGAAACCTGAAGTCAGATCGGGGAAAAAATCAATAGCGATCAATGGTGCAATTGGGCCTTTCAAACGAGATATCAATCATATTGATCGGACGAGCCATCTCGAAAAAAGCTTGCCTAGATGAAACGCGTCCACATCATTTCATCTTGCTGGGTCGATTTTTCATATTCAATTTGATTTTACGATGTCGTAATTAAACTGTCTAGCCAGATCGAGCCGAGTTCTATCGATTGAGAATGTTTTATACAGGTGAGATAGCTTGTGTGGATGGCTATCGGTCGCAGACGGCAAGACGTATGAAAATCGATTCTAATACCTATGTTACGCTGGTAACAAAGGTAAGGTTATTAAAAATACTTTTCAGAAAAAATATAAAACTTATTGAAAATTTGAGTTTTGTTAAGAAGAATTTTTATTGTACACTTCTTCTTCTTCTTCTTTCTCGCATTTCAAGCTTATTGCGTATGGCATATTAGCTTATTGCGTGCTCTCAACTAAGTGATCTAGATGCACTTCCACAGTTATTAATTGAGAGCTTTTCATGCCTGTACCATTTTTACATTAGTATAATTGCCTAGCAAGTACAATCATACTCTATGCCCAGGGAAGTCGAGAAATTTTCCAACCCGAAAAATTCCTAGACCGGACCGGGAATCGAACCCAGCCACCTCCAGCATGGTCTTGCTTTGTAGCTATGCCTTTACCGACTGAGCTAAGGGAGGTCCTTATTGTACACTGGAGTCGCTTTTTACGCGGTTTTTTTTTTACACGGTTTTTTATGCGGTTTTTTTCCGCGGTTTTTTTACGCGGATTTTGGAATTCACACGGTTTTTTTTTTTACGCGGATTTCGGAATTTACGCGGTTTATCGTTATACACTAGAGTCGCTTTTTACGCGGTTTTTTTTTTACACGGTATTTTTTACACGGTTTTATTTTAACGCATATTTCGGATTTTTTTCGTGGATTCCGGAATTTACGCGGTTTTTTTTTACGCGGGACCTATCACCCGCGTAAAAAGCGACTCCAGTGTATTTGTTATTTATGGTTTTCATGGTTTGTAGACAATGGGCGTGACACGTTTTTGTATTTTTTTTATTTAGGCTTTTCTACACAACATATAAAAAAATCAGCGATGTATTTTTCTTCAGTTTTGAGCTACGATTTTTTGGAATTATCATGTTTAGAAATTTCGCTCATTACTCCAATACGACTAGATTACCCTGCCTCTCCATTAATACATATCGAATGTAACATGAATACATTACTTACTTATTTCAATTTCTGATCCTAGACTACCATGACATTCATAGAAACTTGAATCA